GCCCTTTGAACTCTGTAGGCTCCAATGTTGCAGTTAGAATGTTAAATATTTTAACCCTTTGCACTCCGAAGAATTAACACATTAAACGCCGCATAAATTTCAGTTACTAAAAACGCGAGCGTCGATGATTATATTGATATCCTGTTAAATATCGATTAAACCAAAATTTCTAACTTATGGAAGAGAATAAGGAATTTGTAAATTTTACTTTGGATTTGTGTTATGCGTATCGAAAATGTTGCATGAACATAGGATTAGCAATTAAACTACTAAAAATCCCGCATTATCGCATTGAATTAGTTTAGTATATTTTTGAGTGTGTCGATTGGTAACTTTTGTGATTTTACGAATGTATTGTCATGAATATAAATAAATAGTAGAATGTCCATTTTACTTTCATTGTTCCATTGTGAGCGTTAAAATTTCGTTGTTGGTCGAAATTGTTGTCCATTGTTGGGGAGTCGAGTGAAGGGAAGTATCTCATTAAAGTTGAAGATCTGAATTGCAGTAAGAATCTACTGGCGCACGTAAAAATTGCAACACAGAGAGAAGTCGAAATAAATTGAATACTTCCCTGCGCACGCGGCGGATGAAAAATTAAAAGCTCCGCTAAGAGGGTCGTTCTGAACCAGATGTTTATGAACGCGAATAACTGCTCCACTTTAATTGTTCGTTTCCTTGACGTTGCAGTTTTCTGTGCGCAGCGATATACAGGGTGTCCTGGCGTAAGATTTCACACGGGATTTCAAAGGTCCCCTTTCTTAGGAAGCTTCTATGGAAACTGACTTCAAGGGAAGTCGCCCCTAACGATACGCGGGGAACTTTAAGCAACGAAAATTTTAGATTCTTTCTTTAAGTTTGGAGACAGAGATTTTTGTCTAATGAGTCCAGTGAAAGAATTCTGGAAACGAGAGAGATTGTTAATAGAATCATAAGTCGGAGGATGAGATAGAAATAATTTCATAGAACAAGATTTGGAAACTTTGAAATTTTCTGATTTAAATATTTAGTTTTCGAGTTTATAGATTTACGGATTGTGCGTGTTTGAATAGTGAAATATGGAATCTTCTAACTTTTGAACCTTCGAATTCTTAAAGCTTCAAACCTTCAAACCTTCGAGCTTTCAAACATTGAAATTTTTAAACTTTCGAACTTTCGATCTTTCGATCTTTAAAATTTTAAAACTTTTGAACCTTCAAACTCTTGAAGTTTCAAATCTTGAAGTTTAAAGCTTCAAACCTTCAAATCTTCCAAGCTTCAAATCTTCCAAGCTTCAAATCTTCCAAGCTTCAAACCTTCAAACCTTCAAACCTTCAAACCTTCAAATCTTCCAAGCTTCAAACCATCCAAGCTTCAAATCTTCCAAGCTTCAAACCTTCAAAGCTTCAAACCTTCCAAGCTTCAAATCTTCCAAGCTTCAAACCTTCAAAGCTTCAAATCTTCAAACTCTCGAAATTTTATGTGTCAAACCTTCAAATGTTCAAACTTCTTCACATTCAGACTTCCAAACTTCCTCACATTCAAACTCCCAAACTCCCAAACATCCAAAAATCCAAATTCGCAAGCTCCCGAACATCCAACTCTCCGCATCTCCGAATTTCTGAAACTCCAAAACATCTGTAGACACCCTATACAAAGCCGGCACCGAGGCATCATAATTGACGAGCGATTCAAGGGTCCAAAGACCAGGTAAACCCAGCCCTGGAGTACAGTTGCAACTTCGACGTGTCTTCAAAGTAGATGAATGCCTAGTATCAGGCGGCGATGTATCACGGACAAAAGCCGGCCGCGCCGTTAAGTTCGCCGTCTCGCGGTGTAATTTCACCGAGGAACTTTCGGCGCATCCTCGTCCGTCGCGTCGCGTCGCGTCGCGTCGCGCGGCGCCGTCGACGACGCAATTTCCTGCGTCGGCGAGCAGACGGCGCGACGTTCCCGCCGCGGCTAGGAAGTTGGCGTGGCGAACAATCGAGCACGGAAGACACGGAGGACGCAGAGGCCCTCCTCAATTTCATCGAACACTTATGGAACAAAGTTGACGCTTCATCCCTTGATTACGGAGCTTCTCATGAATTTTCCGAGACGTTGCGAACCAGGAAGGATTTATTTGATCAGAGGATACGGGAATTGTTTCGGAAGATTTTAGCGGATCTTTGGAAGATGATGGTGGGATTGCTCGAGTGATATCACTGATGGAAAATATTTATTATTAGGAGCCAATGCGGTTGATTCTGGGAAAGAAGAATTGAGAATTCATGTTTTGGCTTCTGAAATGATTATACAATGTATTTAGAAGGTATAAAGAGCTTTGTGACCTAGAAAAATTTACGAGAAGCAGAAAATAATTCAAATAACTCAAATACTTGGACATTTTAATTAGGTATCGTTGTGTAGTACATGGCAGACGAGTGTTCGAATCAATAACCTTTTAATCGACTGAACCAATGATCCTGAAGAAGATACTTTAGAGACTTTGAAGTAGTAGTTGAATTTCACCGTAAAGAAGTTAACGAAAGTTGACATTGAAACAGCTGGCCCTTCAGAACTTCAAATGAAAAAAGTGGAACCTAAAGAAGTAAACTTCGACCAAGTTGCTCCGAAAGAATTCAGCTTTCAAAAAGTTGACCCCAAAAAAACCTCGGCAAAGTAGCCTCAGAAAAAATCAATCCGAAAACAGTTGATCCTTTGCTCCGGAAAAATTCATTTCGTCATTCACTATAGAACTAACCGATCTCAATATAGTTAACCCTTTGCACTCGAAAGTTTTTCACTTGAAATATTCTATACTTTCTAATTAGATTAGGTAACAAAACTATTTTCTTTCAATACTTCACGCAATGATGGTAAATAACAAAATTAAATAACAAAACCTTCAACATACGAAGCTAAATTATATATTAATTGCTTTATTAATAGAAAGAAAGAAAACTGCTCGCTGATCTCTTGCTGTTCCACTAATTAGATCATTTCCACGACTTAGTCTTCCGAATTTGAATATTTCATCTCACCGAAACGCTGGTTAACATAGCTTAAACTGAATTATAGCAAAATTACAGCTAATACACTCTAGTATAATTAAAAAAAGAAAAATGAGGCTAGTTTCTGTAACAGTTCCAGCGAGGGCAACCCTCTTCGCTCAAACCAGCCTGCACAGCTGCAAAATTCATCGGCCGGAACGCAACGCCGGTTACAAGTCCAGTCAGCTGGCGAACTGCAGCCGTCGAAGTGTTAATAAACAATTTTTTGTCGCGCTTGTCACGGGAACGCGCGCGTTATCTTTATACTTTCGGATACAATATTTCCTGGCCGGCCGATCGTCCGACAAAGATGTCACGTTGAATTCCTGCGCGTCCCGTCAGCGCGGCGTTTGCTATTCATAACTCTTTTCATTTTCAACGGGCGGCGTCCAGCTCGCTGCGAGTCCGGCTCGAAAATTTATTTTACGACGGGACACACACGCGCGCGCGAGTACCATACAATATTAAATATTCGCGGGATTGAAGAGCCGCATGGGAAACTGGGTTAACACGGACGGGCCGAGCCGGATTTTTCCGCGAGGCGATTTCCGCATGGAATCGGCCTAAATTCGTCTGTTCGCGCAACGAAAATTGAAAGTTACCGGTCTGTTGCCAAGTAGTGCGTACTATGGGAAATGATGTTCTTGTGAACAATCAAAATTTTGTGCGGGTAAATTCTGTTTTTGTATTTTCTGTGTTTTCTAGGCGAAAGTTACAGAAACATTGATTCGAAATCTCACACCATTAAAATTTTAACTGCGACGTCACCCAACACCGTTTCTTCCATGAACTGAAACATTAATTTCCCTGGTAGCATATCAAACAAACCGAATACTAATGAATACAGGAAATATAAGATATTAAAGCAACCGTTCTCGAAGATTGTCGTAAATCTACAGAACCTCCAGGAAATGAACCTAACTTACACACCAATCGCTTAAACAATACACTAAAATACAAATAACATACTAATCTCGCACTATCCAACTGACCAAACATTCTTCCAAACATGAAAATTCTATCCCAGACTCTCGACATTCGTCCGCAAACAGTTAATACCTCTAACAAACCTTTCTCAACTATATAGAAGTCTTGCTGATCATTTCCCTCATAGTCAAATCATTGAAGCTAACTTAATTCAAACCCTAACTCATACCTACAGCTTACTACCACAAAATCTCCAAAAACTAGACGCGTGACAAAGATTCAAACATTCTACCAACATCTCCCAGCGAACCTTCAAACATTCTACCAACATCTCCCAACGAACCTCTCAACAACATTCCTCTCTAGATAATTCCTCCAATAAATCCAGCTAAAGATTAAACCATTATCCTCCGAACTCTCAACACAAAAGTCTCGCTAACCATCTCCTCCACGGTCAAACCACTAAACAAC